AATTTGGTACATAAATGCTCTAGAACAATAGACAGGCCCGATTAATTTTGGGTTGAAATTTGTTCATATTAATTCTCTAATAATAATTCATAATTTTTTTGTCCTAATCACATTTCAATGAAACTTGGTACATAGATATTACATTACGCAGGCCTTATTAGTTTTACACTCAAATCTGTTCATATCAGTTACCTGATTTACATAATTAGTTTTCAGCTATTCCATCAATATCTCAAGTACTTTCTAAGCTTTCTTTGATTTGATAATTGGCCTCACTAATGTACTAAACAAAGAAGTCAAAAAAACTATTCACCTCATATTTTCACAGGTCATTTATTGATGACACACTTGGCAACTCTATTATTGGTTCTGTCTGTAGAGCATGCATTAGCTGTCGTGGTAAGTAAGTTCATGATTGTATTTGCAATTCCATGTCAAAATAAAAAAAAATAAGAAACGGCATCTTACAGTGTATGTGCAGCTATCAATAAAAGCAATTAACTGAGACTGACCACTGGACTAAAAATGCCAACACGAAATGAACTTTTATGATTTTGGTTTGATTAAATAATTGAAAATGCATTCATGTCTCATGGTTCTACAGTATAATGTGTACAGTTTTTCTTCCACTGTTTTTTTTTGTATAGTTTTCTTTATCTGCCTGCCTGCCTGCCTCTCAGAATAATTCAGAGTGTTATGGGTAAATTTCCATGAACATTTTCAGAAGGGTTTTTGCACTGGTTCCTATGGTGAAATTATTTTTTATATTTCAAAATGTTGCCAATATTATCCTAATATCGTTACAACATTTCAAAATATTAACACAAGTTTCAAGTATAAGTTTTCCATTATGTACATGCATGGTTTACATATGCAGTAACATGCTCTGTAGTCCAAAATTTGACTCCCACAATGCATTGCATATATGTGCAGTAACACGCTCTGTAGTCCAAAATTTGAATGACTCCCACAATGCATTGCATATATGTGCAGTAACATGCTCTGTAGTCCAAAATTTGAATTTGACTCCTACAATGCATTGCATATATGTGCAGTAACATGCTCTGTAGTCCAAAATTTGAATGACTCCCACAATGCATTGCAAATATGTGCAGTAACATGCTCTGTAGTCCAAAATTTGAATTTGACTCCCACAATGCATTGCATATATGTACAGTAACACGCTCAGTAGTACAAATTTGAAGTCATTTTCCAGAATGCATTGCATTTATGTGCAGTAACATGCTCACTAGTACAAAATTTGAAGTTCTTTCCCATAATGCATTGCATTTATGTGCAGTAACACGCTCAGTAGTACAAAATTTGAATTCATTTCAAACTGCTCTAAGTAAGTGATAACATACATGATGCGAATTTTAGCAGATTAAATGATTATGGTGATACTGAATGTTGTGAGTTGGACATGACATCTTTATACTCACAAGTTGTACCTTTTGTTACAGGTGACTAACAATGTAGTACAAGGTGATGGCAACACAACTAAACCTGCCCTAGGTAAATACTGGTTAGACAAACCACATAACAGAATACTCTTGAATAAAGAACATCAAGCTACACTAGTAAAATCAACTAGGTTGGTAAGTGTGTAAAATTTGAATTTCAACCTTTCTATGTAAGATGTTTTATCTCAAGGAATTACAATGTGCCATGAATTTTGTGAAAGTGTCTGCATCCTGCCAAATGTGGCATTTCATATTGAATTCCACTCTCTTGTCCATTTCTGGTATTCAAACACTTAACGTTTAAGATTGAAAAAATGCGTGCGAAATTATCCGACAATGACATCGATAAAGCTGTGGCGCTTTTCAATAAAGAAAACATACTATAAGAGTAAATAAACTCATGTTATGCTTTTGAGCCATTTTTAATGCTTCAGTAAGTCACAACCCTGATATGTCATGGTTTTTGTTACGAATCCCAGCATATGCGACTTAGCAAGGGGTCCCTGTAATCCTAATAGAGCACTACTCCTTTGTACTGACTCCACTCATGCTTGTAATATCCCCGCAAAAACATCATACTTTATCAATCTGTAATTTGATTTCTCTTCAGCCACTGTATAACAAAGTGATGTATACAATCACAGATGCTGGAATCACTGATGTGTCAAAACAAGACTGAATAGGAAAATACACGCCTACTTGAAGAGTGTTTCTGTGTAGCATGAATTCTGTACACTATAGACTACATAAAAAATATCTTTATTATAATCAAATACATAAATATCAATTAAAATTACATTTTTCATCATAACTTTAAGTCTCTGGAATGTTATTTTACAGTGAAAT